AAATAATATCGGAACTGAAATATTATTATACTGATGAAAAGTTGGGATATTACAATACCTCTAACAAACATATATTTCTCGCACCATCGCATTTCGAAGCAAATTCGTACAAATTTAAAGAAGTCGAGGAAAATAAGAGTAAATAGGAGCAAAAACGAAAAAATAATAACGTCTTCGGAAAGGCTTGTTTTCGAACACAGCACCATTATTTGATGTGAATTACATATATTTCTCGTACCATCGCGTTTTGTAACAAAATTGTATACATTTAAAGAAGTCGAGGATAATAAGAGTAAATAAGAGCAAAAACGAAAAAATATTCAACGTCTCCGGAAAGGCTTGTTTTCGAACACGACACCATTATTTTATGTGAATAACATATATTTTGCGCACCATCGCGTTTCGAAGCAAAATTGTATACATTTAAAGAAGTCAAAGAAAATAAGAGTAAATAGGGGCAAAAACGAACAAATAATCAACATCTCCGGAAAGGCTTGTTTTCAAACACGACACCATTATTTGATGTGAATAACATATATTTCTCGCACCATCGTGTTTCGTAGAAAAATCTTATACATTTAAAGAAGACGAAGAAATAAGAGTAAATAGTGGCAAAAACGAAAAAATAATCAATGTCTCCGGAAAGGCTAGTTTTCGAAGACGACACCATTATTTGATGTGAATAACATATATTTCTCGCACCATCGCATTTCGAAGCAAATTCGTATATATTTAAAGAAGTCGAAAAAAATAAGAGTAAATAGGGGCAAAAACGAAAAAAATATTTAACGTCTCCGAAAAGCTTGTTTTCGAACACAACACCATTATTTGATGTGAATAACATATATTCTCGCTCCATCGCGTTTCGAAGCAAAATCGTATACATTTAAAGAAGTCGAGGAAATTAAGAGTAAATATGGGCAAAAACGAAAAATAAATCAACGCCTCCGGAAAGGCTTGTTTTCGAACACGACACTATTATTTGATGTGGATAACATATATTTCTCGCACCATAGCGTTTCGAAGCAAAATCGTATACATTTAAAGAAGTCGAGAAAAATAAGAGTAAATAGGGGCAAAAATGAAAAAATAATCATTGTCTCCGGAAAGGTTAGTTTTCAAACACGACACTATTATTTGATGTGGATAACATATATTTCTCGAACCATAGAGTTTTGAAACAAATTTGTATACAGTCAAAGAAGTCGAGGAAAACAAGAGTAAATAAGGGACAAAACGAAAAAATAATCAACGTCTCCGGAAGGCTTGTTTTCGAACACGACACCATTATTTGATGTAGATAACATATATTTCTCGCACCATCGTGTTTCGAAGCAAAATCGTATACATTTAAAGAAGTCGAGGAAAGTAAGAGTAAATAGCGGCAAAAACGAAAAAGTAATCAACGTCTCCAAAAAGGCTTGTTTTCGAACACGGCACCATTATTTGATGTGAATAACATATATTTCTCGCACCATCCCATTTTGTAACAAAATTGTATACATTTAAAGAAGTCGAGGAAAATAAGAGTAAATAGGAGCAAAAACGAAAAAATATTCAACGT